AAAAAAAAAAAAGAATCAAAATCTTGCATCTTATCAAATATTGTTTTCCAAAATGAGATCCCAAACAATAAAATGTACAAATTGAGATCCCAAACAATAAAATGTACAAATTGCAATTGGGTGAGAGTATGTTTAGGTTTCGGGGTGTGGGTGTGTGTGTGTGGGGGGGGGGCAGAAAGCACTTTTTTTTTCTGAATAGAAGTTCTTAGGTAAAATACTTCCACTCTCAAATTAGTTAGCCAACAAAATCAGTTTAGCTCGCTGTTTATTCAATGAGAGCATAAGAAGAGAAATGCACTTGTGACAAAGTGCCGAACAGCATAATTTCATTTAATTTAAATCAAAACCCTTAATTATTGATCAGGAAATCTGAAGCTTCAATTGCTACCTGCTCGAGGAAACAAAGTGTAGAAAGTCCACCCAACTGATTGAATGATATATCAATCACATAGTTCCTTACGAAGCATTTTACAAGTTTAACCTGCCATCAAAAGCAAGACCTAGTGAGTTCAAAACCTCACCAGATATCAGAAATATAAAAAGTAGTACGCTGAGTCATTCACAAAACAACTAATTAGACCACCATGCTTTTGGCAGCTTCCCCACGATGACCTCTAAACAAGCAAACAGTATTGCAAACAGGCCACTCCCCTCGATATGGAACCAAAATCACAATTAGCATCACATTAACAACTTTTAGGAGGAAAATAAAAGAAACTGAAATAAATGAACACAAATAAAGTTTCTGCGTCACCTATTCTATTGTCATATACACATCTAAAAGTGCCTACATACTATATGCAAGTTGATATTTTGCAAAATATACAACTAATCAGAGTATGCTAAGGATTTCAAGTCCAAAAGAAAGTATGGCTTTTTGCTGCAGAGGAACTCCGCAATACAAGATGCATAAGAAAAACAGACCAAAAATAATCCAATGCACACCTAGGACCAAAAACAAAATTCAGGAGAAACTATTCATTTATTGACAGCAATATAAGGAAAAAATTAGCTAAAATAGGTTGGAGCAGTTGCAACAAAGAGCAGAGCATGCGTAAAGCGATGAAAATCTGAATGCAGACAACCTCAGCATCAATGAATTGGGTTTCTTTTACTTGGTACTCTGCGTTTTCATTCCGCTCTTCATCCTGTAAAAGAGCTAGGACATCGTGGGCCAAAGATTCCACAGCATTAGGGTCTTTGAGGACAGTCAAATCAATGTCACCATCAGGTAGGTACGTCTTCAGTGGCACTGAACCGTAGGAAACTACCTGATACGAACAAGATAGCAGCCTTATACAATTGAACACACGAACAACTACAAAATGATCAGTTCATTCACAATTATTAAAATAATCATAACACACATTCTTCACTAGATTCAGTTTATCAATTTTGTACTACAAGCATGTTAGCTTCAGTGAATGAATAAAGAAACATATATAGATTATTAAAATTTTGATTCATGCTAACAGCATGTTTATTATTTAATTACTTGGAACAGCTAAAGAAAGTAGAAAAGTATAGCATCTACCCAAAATTCCATTCGCTTGTCGTATCTTATAGACTTGATCATATCAGATAATAAAAAGTATCTCATAGACTTGATCATAAACTTCAAGAACCTCGCAAATAAGTTATTTCGTAACATGAATTGAAAAATAAGCAGGTCATAGAAAAATGGTGACATTCCGTTACAACATTTCCTGATAGTTGTTTTCTCCCATCTTCAGACTTCAGGATTTCAATTTTTACATTTTTTTTTAATTCTTCAGCTGAAAAGGCAGAGACAACAGGTACCTATATTCTCCCCGTGCACAAAAGTTTGTCATCACATACTCTTCCCGAGGGATACTTTCAACAGCACCTATACTATGGTTAAGAAAGTTTGTTTTATAAATTGACCAACAGACTGTAGATACGCCCACTTTATCTTCTCAGCATTCGGGATGTTGTCAAATCCAGACATACTAATTTCGAACCGGCACTTTATATATTATGTCGATACTCACTGCTTTTCAAAAATGGCAAAGTAGAGCACCCAATCTAGCATATAACTCAACCCAGATACTATGGAATCTAAGAACCTGCATAAGTTTCACTTTTCTGCAACAGCAATATCGAAATCTTAAAGTATCGTAACCATAAAAGGTGTCACGTACAAAGATCCGGCAAAGTACCCGAATGATTCCTCAAATGTGTATTATATCAACTATTTATAACATAGTATATTCCCAAAACCTGTTACACCAATATACAAATGTTGTATCACACATCAAAGCAAACATAACAAAAATAATTTATACGGGGAAAGTATCCACGATCGTGTTGGCACACGCACAAACGAACCTACACAGTGAATGTGTTAAAAAGTAAGCTTAAAAGAACCAAAAACCCCACCACCTTCCACTAACGTGCTTATAATTCACACACGCGCACACACACAGAGCATCAAAGTGAAAATGATGGAACAGTAAGCCCCAAAGAATTAATTAATTAGAATTAAGAATAAAAAAATTAATTACCTCGCAATTAAGACGGTTTTGGACGAGCTGCTGAACATAATCAACGACGTCTCGTCTTTTCTCCTCAGAGTCAAGTGTGGGGTGCACGCAATTCAACACTTGCTCCGCCGCTTCCTCCGCAGCCGACAAACACTCCGCCCCAATCGAAGCTAGATCAGGCGGCGGGCAGGACTTCCACCCGGAGCCGAAACCCGCACGCGCCTCCTCCGGAGGGCCGTTGCCCTTTGGATTCGCCGCCCCAAGCTCCCCCATCTTCGCAGTCATTTACACAAGAAAAACCACCAAGAGAAAGAAGAAAACAAAAGGAGAAAAAAACATCAACTGGCACAGAATGATTAATCCTCCCGGTTTCTCACTGTTTCAGCTATATAGTTAGAGGGTTAAAAAAAAG